ATAAAAAAAACGATAAACTAAACAAACAAATGACGTGTCACAACTGTGCTGCACTTGGTCTTTGCCCTAATGTCTCAAACCGAAGAAGGCATTGAGAAATTATTTCAGATTGACCAAATTTTGATATTAAATTTAGAGCACAAATGACATAGTAGTTGACTTGAATTTTTTTGATTGGTGTGATGTCATTTGGGCTCCAATAAAAATTTCAAAATAATCTACTGCCATGTCATTTGCCTCCAAATTTGATCCCTAAATTTAGTGAATGTAGCATTATTCAAATTATTTTTATTCCTTTATCTCGAACTTCTCTATTCTCTCTCTCCCTTAATGTCTCAAATCAAAGAGGCCGTAGAGAAACTATTTTTATTCCTTTATTTCGGGGTTCTCTATTCTCTCTCTAACTTGTTGCGAGTAAAAAAGTGGGGATGTGTCCCAATTGCACACTCTTTTTATTCTACGAACCCTTGTTAATTATAAACTTTGTTCGCTAGAGCATAATCTTTAGCAATTGTTGATTTCTTTGAACCGGAATTATAGAGTTCACTAATTTAATATAGCTCATTTTTCCCTTTTTACTGGTCATGGAGGAACATTTATCTCTTGGTGGTCAAACAATTTACATAAAAAGTAACTACTAGAAGTTATGGTGGAATTTTTATGATAAAAAAAATTGTTTATTTCAAAACCTTTTAGTTGGGACCCAATTGAGAAATTAATCTAAGTAACAGTGTCAATATATTATCACTATCACTAACACAAGGGAAACGAAATGATACAAAGTGATCATCGCCTCTAAGTGTGTATTATAAGAACAACTCTTAATTCACATAGAATATATGAGTAAATTCAAGAATATGTTGATTAAATTGATTAACCGAATAGAATCATAATATATAGGACAATTTCTAGAAAAAAAATTAAAACCCTAAGATTTTTAAAGAAAAAAAAAACGCATCTAATAGTATTATAGAAAAATCAACATGATTTAAGCAACAAATCAATCTAGAATATCCTTAGTATCCTAAACAATAAAAATAAAAGAGAAAAATTTCAGTCACACCATTCTTATTTTATCATATATTCAATGATACCCCACTCTATCACTAAATTGTCCATGATATATTTTAAGAAAAACTTTTTCCACACTCCCTCAAGATAGACATATCTTCAATGAGACCCTTTTTATTATTAAAATTTTTGTATGTATTAAAATTCGGGCTGATCAAAATTTGATTTATAGTTAATTAAAATTTATTTTATATATATTAAAATTTAAGTTGATTAAAAATTATATTTTTTTTACGTATTAAAATTTGAGTTGATTAAAATTCTATTAAAGGTCCAAATCAAATTTTAATTAACTTGCATTAAATTTTAATTGTTTCGATTTTTTATAAATAAAAAAATATAAATTTTAATATGTAAAAAATAAATTTTAATCAAGTTGAATCGAGTTTTAATAAATAAAAAAATATGAATTTTAATAGGGACTAACAGGTCAAGTAGAGCTCAAATTAGCTCGAATTTTAGCACGTAAATGACTTTTAATAGGCTCAAATTTTATTACATAAAAAAATATAATTTAATCAACTCGCATCAAATTTTAATCAACTCAAATTTTAACATGTAAAAAAAAAAAATTTAATCAGCTCGAATTTTAATATGTAGAAAAATAAATTTTAATCGGCTCAAATTTTATGTAGAAAGATTGTTTGGAGTTTATGTAAGGGTAATTTTGGTATTTTAAATAATTTATTTTTATTATAAATGATAGTTTAATGACAAGGGACGTCAATAATGTTTAAATATAAATTAAAGGGTGTGTCAGTAATATTTTTTATAATAGAGGGGATATTTTTGAATATATAATAAATTAGAAGAGATGTAACTGAAAATTTTTCAAATAAATTTTTTTTGATCTTGTTCTATATCAATTACATAATATCATCATTCAATAAAAAAAATAAATGAACAAATGAGTCTCATTTATTTCAGGTAATACACCATATAACTTGATAACTACCCCATATAATATAATAATATTCATTTATTGTATTTAATTATTTTTTTATTAAATAATGATGATAAATATCTATAATCTATATAATAAAGTAGCTAGATTTCTTTGTCTTTAATTTTTCGTGGCTCAAATCGTTTGACTATTATTAATCTGACGATTTTCACACCAATTTTTTTCAAGACTCCTATGACTCATTTAACTGTCTTTATATCTATCTTATATTCTCTCTCTCTCATATTATTATCTTATTTTTTATGTTTTCCAAATGTTATTTTTTTATTATTTACTCCATAAAACATATAAAATTACATGTTATACAATTATTTATTCCATAAAATTATTTCAAAATTTTATATATTTGACAACATGTATTTTAATGTAAATAAAAAATAGCACTTCACGATTTGAGGTCTTTTTTATCTGAGTTTCACATCTGTGCCTGAAATTAAGTCTTAATTGATTTAGGGCCTAAATTCTTATAAAATTCTCATTGATAATGGTTTTTATATAGATTGTTTTTTTAGTTTTTTTTTAATATTTGCCCTATTTGCCCTATGGTGTGAACAAATCTGTATTTAAATTTTATGGGTTAAAATACAAATTTTAAAGTTTATATACAACAAAAAATTTTATAATTTAAGGTCAATGTCATGTTGGTTAAATCAACAACAAATAATATTCAACATGAAATGAACCTTAAATTGTAAATTAATATATATATTTATAAAAAATTGACATTTAATTTTGTCCAATTTATATTCAAAATTTTCTAATTAATATTAAATTAATTTTTATTGTTATCAAATTAATATTTAAATTCATTTAATCAATTTTTTGGGGGTATTAAATTATATCAATTTTTTGGGTATTAAATCAAATGTTATTTTATTTTATTAAATTTTTAATTTTTTTGGCTACAAAAGTTGGAGAAAGGCAATTATAAAAATAATAATTTTTTTTGGGTGATAAAGTGATCACTTTTCGTTAGCAATATTGAAGGAAGGGAGACAGGGGGGTCTTTGTGTAATAAATTTTAAACTCTAGGGATTTTTGTGTTATTTATAAAATATTTGGGAGTGTCCACATGATATTGTCAAAACTCAAGGGAAGTCCGTATTTTTTACCCTATTTTTAATTATATATTAATTTATTATTATTTTTTCATAAACACTTTAATTATTATATTTCTAATAAAAACAGTTATTAGTTAGAAAAGTTTGTTGGTAGCCAAAAAATAAATGTGTGAGAGTATGTTTCTGTGTAATTTATACGTGGAGGATTAAAAATTTGGTAATTAAATTTATAATTTTATCGTGCCATTTGGGATTGAATGATGATAAATTCATTAGTTTTATAAATGCGTAAGATTTGATTGATTTTATTTATCGCTTAAAGATTGTGAATTTAATTATGTTATTTTATTTTTTGCTTGAGATATTTATTACATGGGAATAAGGTGGATTGAATATATAGTGATTGTGTTTATAATTGTATTTTGTTATTGGATTGAATAGTGGTAAAGAGGATAAATTTATGAGTCTTATAAATGAGCAAAATTTTATTTATTACTTAAAGATTATAAATTTCAATGGATTAAGTTAGTATTTTTTTTTTTTGGATGCATTTGTATATATGGTATTGCTTTGAAAGATTTTATATATTTTTACAACAGTTCTATTAATATGGAGGATATGATCGGCGATATATTTCAATTCATTTTGAAAGAAGAATTGGTATGAAAATTTTTAGGCTATTCTTTTTGAATTTGGACAATTGTGTAAAAAAATTTTATTTGTTATATAGTGCCTTTATGCACGGATAATAACTTGTTATATAATATCACAATTACATTGAATATTTACTCGAATGGGAGGTTTGGGTTTATAGAGGGGTAGAACTGTCACTTTGACGAAGTTCCTAAAATACATCTCTCTCCACCTTGGCTCGCTGTGTTGCGGCACCTCCAAAGCCTACCAACTTTTGAGCTTCGATTTCATCGAAACCCATTTCTTTTACTCGACAATTATTTACAAAAACCCCTCACTTCTCACCTTCTCTCCTAACCCTCCTCTCTCTCTCTCTCTCTCTCTGGAAGTAAGGTGAGTCTTGAATCCTTGATACTATAAGTTGTTAATTATACATACATATCTGCATTTATATTATACCCATTACCATTTTGCAATGTGGCTAAGAATCTATGATGAGTATGAAGCTGTTCTGAACACAATATGCAGATGTAAATGACTATATTCATTCTGACATCATAAAAATGTCAGTTTTGGGTGTCTTGTGTTTTCATAGTTTTATCAGGAAAACTTATTTTTCAGGTTCTGCATTGGAAAAAGAACCTGAAAATGTTGACTAATTTTTGAAACATTATAGGGAGAAAGTTGACTAATTTTTTTTCTTTAGACTCGTATGATTATGTTTTTTTGTCTTTTAATTTAGTTGATAGGTACTTTGGCATTGAACATAATTTGGTATGGTTCTATTTGTTTAGAATTTACACTCTAATGCTAGGTTGATGGAGTGTAAATGAGCAAGCTTTGAACTTAATTTCTAAACTAATTTAACTTTTGGAAAATTAGAGAGAATACTATTTGTTGGCGACTTAAAATTTTTCCGATTGATTATCCATAAGTATCGAATCGTCAAGGTTAAATCTCATTGTAAAAATAGCTATGTTAAGTGTTGTTTTCTTATTTGTTTGCCCTTTTTCTCCAAACTATTAGATAAATACTTGTGCTACACTCCCCTCTAACAACTTAAGCTTTTAGATGATTGGTTGTTTAATATAGTATTAGAGCCTAGAGGCTTTGACCCCTTTCTAATAGCTTAAGCTTTTAGATGAGTTGGTTGTCTAATACAAATTACAAACCAAGTTGATATAAGGACCTATATCTGGATTAAAAAAAAATTGATTTAGCTACCTTTTGCAGGTCTATATTTACTGGTTGCGTGAATCAACTCATAGAAAATGGCTGCAACTGCAACTCCTAGCATGCACATTGCAGCAAAACTGTGCATTTCTGCTTCTTCCAAAGTTTCCAAGTCTAGTATTGCTAGTTTTGGTACTAAAGCTAGAGGGGCATCTTGGACAAGGCTTAAAAGCTCTTCTCACATTTCGTCAACACAGCCATTGTTCCAGAGTTTCACTTCCACTCCTGCGAAATTTGAAAAGGTTGTAACAAAAGCAATGTCTGAAACAAGTGAGGATAAGCCTTTGTCAGGCTTGCCTATTGATTTGAGAGGTTAGTCTTCAGTGTGTATTTTTTAGTATAAATAGCTGACAAGATGGTTGGCCATATCAGAAGTAAATCATAATAATGCAATAAAGTATTGTTCCAAGGTATTCCATACTACTGTTTGTCTTGGTGTCCCATTTATTAAGAAGGATAGGTTCAAGTGACCCTAATGCTGATATCAGAGAAGGTATGTATTGCTCAGGTGTGTTAAGAATAGTAGGGTAGTATGTGTAAATTGTTAATAGTAAGAGGGTATATATGTAATTCTTATTATTGTAGGTTAACTATAAATATAAGTGATATATGAGAGTTAGGTTAAGTTTTAACCTCTCTCTGTTTTTCTCTAAATATTGTCTCTAATATTATGTTAATTCTCCAAACTTAACATGGTATCAGAGCAAGACGATCATAAATATATATTCTGAATAAATTTATTTCTTGTTCGTCGTGGTGGTACTGTTGTGGTGGTGGTAGTCGACGTCTGTCGCTGGTTGAAGTATCGTGGTTACTGCTGTGGTGTTGTCATCGTGGTTACTGTTGTGGTGGTGGTAGTCGACGTTAGTATAGTCGACGTTAGTATAGTCGACTTGGTGGCACGATTGTTTGCTTCGTGGTTGTTCAGTCGACGCTGTGTAGTTGACTTTGGTTCGTGGTTGTGTAGTTGGCTGCCCTAAGTAGTGGCGGTGGTGTGTGCCACTTATGTGTTCAGAATAGGGTTTCTAACCCTTGCAGAGAAGAAGAAGAAGAGATCCAACGGGTTGGGTCAGATCGGGTCAACCCACGGTCCAACCCAAGACTTGGCCCAACTTAGACCGGTTTGGTCTGGTTCAGAGGTTAAGAGAGTCCAGCCGGTCTGATTCAGACCGGTTTTACTCCGGTTCATTGGTCCAAAGGACTAAACCAGTCCGGTTTAGGCTTCCAGTAGCCTCAGCAAGGTTGGTTCAGTGGTCCAGAGGGCTAAACCAGTCTGGTTTAATGGTTCTCTAGGCTGGTTCAGCCTTCCAGCAGCCTCCTTTGGGCTAAACCAGTGCACTTCAGTGGTTCTCTAGGCCGGTTCAGCCTTCCAGTAGCCTCTTTTGGGTTAAACCAGTCTGGTTCAATGGTTTTCTAGACCGGTTCAGCCTTTCAGCAGCCTTATTTTCTCTGGTTCAGCATTGTAGCACTTTTATTTCCTATTTGCTGCACTCTTATAGAACCCAAGCAAGACACCATGACTCTTACTCCATTTTTACCTCTTTCAATTCTTATTAATGGTCCCATGATCTCTCTCAAACTTAATAGGATTAATTATACTTTATGGTCTCGATTTGTTTAAATTTTTCTTTGAGGCAAAGGATTTAAGAAATATCTGGTGACTCCTAAACCCAAGGAAGATACTCCTGGTTATGATCAGTGGGAACAAGAGAATGCTCAAATTATTTCTTTACTATTGAATAGTATTGAGCCTAGTATTAGTTCTACTCTACTCTACCTTGACACTGCCAAGGAGATATGAGATCACTTGACCACTATGTATTCTGGTACGGGCAATTTTACTCGAGCTTATGAGGTGTGCAAGGAGTATTTCCTACTGGAACAGAGTAATCTGAGCATTGAGGACTATTATTCTCACGTTCGGGGAGTCTGTGAGGAGATGAAGACCTATCATCCGTTTACTACTGATGTAGCGGTTTGACAGAAGCAACATGAGGGCATGAATGTTGTTAGGTTTTTGGTAAGTTTGAAACCTGAATATGAGGGTCTTCGTTCTTAGATTTTGGGTGGTTCTACTCTTCCCTCACTACTTGAGGTTTTCTCTCGTATACAGCGTGCTACTTTGTCTAGTTCAGGTATCAATCATGGTGTTTCCATTGATCGCTCAACTCTTGTGGTACCTAATAGTCATAGTAATGGTCCTCGAGGTGGTCGTGGTGGTCGAGGAGGTCGTACGGGTGGTCGTGGGGGCTGTAGTGGACCACGTTCCTGTACTCACTGTGGTCGTGGAGGGCATACTGTTAATTTCTGTTGGGATTTACATGAAAAACCTTCTGGTGCTGCAAATCAGGCTTCCTATCAGGATGACATCTCTGTTGTTGCTTTCATACCTTGGTCAGCTCCACCAGACACTGGGTCGATTACTATTACACGAGAGTATGCTCAATTCCAGTCCCAGCATCACCCTCCATTGCTATTTTTACCCAGTCAGGTACTGCTTCTACAAGTTTGTTGTCCTCCACTTGTAGTCCCTGGATCATAGACTCTGGTGCTTCTAACCACATAACTGGTGCGTCTGATGTCTTTTCTACTTATCAGTCTACTACTTCCATACGTAGTGTTACTCTTGCTAATGGTTCTTGTTCTAAAGTTTCAGGTTTTGGGACTACTAACTTGAGTCCTGATATGTCTCTATCTTCCGTGTTATTTGTTTCTCAGTTTTCTTTTAGTTTATTTTTTATTAGCAAGATTACCCGTTCTCTCAATTATTCTGTAATCTTTTATCCCTCTTATTGTGTCTTTCAGTATCTCAAGACGAAAAGGAAGATTGGTACAGGTAATGAAGCTGGTGGCCTATATTACCTAGACTTTGATTCACCTACCCGGGCTCTACAGATCTCGTTGTCTTCTTTTCAATGGCACTGTCATCTTGGACATCCTTTTCTCCAGAATTTGAAGCGCCAAGTTCCCAATCTTAGTTATGTGTCGTCTTTGTCCTGTGAAGCTTGTCAACTTAATAAACATCACCGTGTGTCATTTCAGTCTAGAGTCAATAATCGTGTTTCTAGTCCATTTGAATTAGTCCATTCTGATGTATGGGGTCCAATAAAGAATATTTCATCTAATAAATATCTTTATTTTGTGACATTTGTGGACGACTATTCTCGTGTGACTTGGTTGTTTTTGATGCAAGCTCAATCTGACTTATTCTCTATATTTGAGGCCTTTCATAAGAAAATAAAAACTCAGTTTGGTTGTCGTATATGTACTTTACATTCTGATAATGCTCAGGAATATGAATTTAATCATTTTTCAGCTTATTTTAATAAAATTGGCATTATTCATCAGACTTCTTGTGCTTACACCTCTCCACAAAATGGTGTTGCTGAACGCAAGAACCGTCATTTGTTGGAAGTCCCTCGTGCCCTGTTATTCCAGATGAATATTCTCTGATATTTTTGGAGTGATACTATTTTTACTGCTTGTCATTTTATTAATCATATGCCATCATCTGTATTGAATGGGCAAAGTCCATATTCTGTCCTTTTTCCTAATAAGCTTTTATTTTTTCTGACTCCTAAGGTTTTTGGATATTTGTTATGTTCACAATTTGGGTCCTGGGTTTGACAAACTTGACCCTCGAGTTACCAAATGTGTATTTCTTGGTTACTCCCGCACACAGAAGGGGTATTGTTGTTACAGTTCTTCTCTGCACCAATACTTTACTAATGTCGATATCACGTTTGCCGAATTTGTTCCATACTTTCCAACACATTCTCAGCCTTTGGATCTAGACTTTGGATCATCTTCTGTACCACCATCTCTTTCCTCATCCTCAGATATTCCGCTGCCCATTGTGTTACCATCTACTTTGCCTCTCTATGTCTGTTCTCACTGTCCTCACCCATCCACTAAGGTGCTCGTATCGTCTTCCTTGCCGCCTTCTGATCCTGGTACATCAGGTAATTTAGACTTTTTACCTATTGTTCTTCGCAAAGGTACTCGTTCGTGTGTTACTAATCATCTCATTTCTCATTTTGTTTCATATGATGCCTTGTCTTCTGTCTTCTCCTGTTTTATTTTTCAATTGTCAGGTATATCTATTCCTAAGCATTTACAGGATGCATTATCTGATCCGGGTTGGAGGAAAGTTATAGAGGAGGAGATGAATGTTTTACATCATAATGGGACTTGGGATCTCGTTCCTTTACCCCCTAGTAAACGAACTGTTGGCTGTCGTTGGGTGTAAACTGTTAAATTTCATCCAGATGGTTCTGTAGAGCATCTCAAAGCTCGACTTGTTGCGAAGGGCTTTACTCAGACTTATGGTGTTGATTATGAGGAGACTTTTTCTCCTGTTGCCAAAATTTTCTCTGTTCGTGTCTTGATTTCTTTGGCTGCTAATCTTTATTGGCCTTTGTTTCAGGTAGACATCAAGAATGCCTTTCTACATGGTGACTTGGTTGAAAAGGTATACATGGAGCAGCCACCTGAGTTTACTGCTCAGGGGGAGTATGGTAAGAGTGTATGTCGATTAAAGAAATTTTTGTATAGTTTGAAGCAGTCACTGAGGGCATGGTTTGATAAGTTTTCAGATGCAGTTTTAGAGTTTGGCTTTCTTCGATGTTAGATAGATCATTCTGTGTTTCATAGACAAACAGATGCTGCATATGTCCTATTAGTGGTCTATGTAGATGATATTGTGATTACTGGAAATAATTTTGAGGGGATTGCCAAGTTAAAAATATTCTTACAGGATTGATTTCATACTAAGGATTTGAGAAAATTCAGGTATTTCTTGGGTATTAAGGTGACTCGATCTAAACAGGGTATTTGTTTATCTCAGAGGAAATATGTACTTGACATACTTGAGGAAGCAGGTTTGCTAGGTGGTAGACCGATTGATGTTTCTATGGATCCGAATCAGAAATTATTGATGGATGATGGTGTATTGTTTGAGAATTCGGGTCGATATTGTAGATTGATTGGGAAGCTTAATTATCTCACTATTACTCGACCGGATATTTCCTATGCAGTCAGTATAATAAGTCAGTTCATGGGATATCCTAGAGTACCACATTGGGAGGCAGTTACTCGTATTCTGCGATATCTCAATCGAGCTCCTGGACTTAGACTATTATATCAAGCTAATGGACATCTTAGAGTGGAAGGTTTCTCAGATGTTGATTGAGCTGGCTCTCCTTCTAATCGGAGATCAACTATTGGTTATTGTACTTTCTTAGAAGGTAATGTTGTCTCGTGGAAAAGTAAGAAGCAACCCGTGGTAGCAAGATCCAGTGCTGAGGCTGAGT